GCGCTACATCGCCCGGTTTATATAGCTTGAGCAGGCGGTCGAGCGATGCGGGGCAGAGGGGATGGACTCGCCGTAGGCATCTCAATGCTCGCCAAGCATTAAAAATGTTTCGCTACTAATTACTTCTAACAACGATATCTCAAAAACTATTCATCTGATTGATTTAGTGTAAAGAGCAATTTTAATCTGCATTAAATGACTAAGCTAACTAAAATATTCATTTGGATAAGGATTAATACCGAACTAAAGAAAATAACTTTGAAAATAACGTAATGTTTTTAATTAAAAATGTTAACATAAAAGTGGTTATTGTAAGTCAACCGTAAGAGATAGAGATATGCTATCGCGGACTTTTTTGTAGCATTTTTATAGATTTTGAATTCTCTAGTACATTACTTAACTGTATCTTTGCTAGTTTACGCGGCGTTCGCGTGGAAAGTTCCCATTTGGCGAGATTTTTTGCGACCTCTTCAACATTTGTCGCCGTATTTCAGCTAATTTACATAAAAGCATAATAAATTATATACCTAAACCTTCCTCAAGAATTACTCTTTCTATTGTTGAAAACCGTATAAAAATCCGTTCAGTAGTTTTCGAGTTTATCGCGTACAGACAGACAGGAGGACAGAAAGACGCGACCGGGGGACTTATTTTTATAATAAGTATAGATATTATAATTACCCCTCGTGAAACTTAATTAACTAATATTTAGAGAACCAAAAATCAAAATAAATCCGCGAAATAATCCAAAAAATAGTTTAATTCACTATATTTTGTTATGATTTATAGCAAACAAAATATTTTTTTATTTAGTATAATATTAAGTTAATTTTCATAGAGTAAATACTTTGGACACAATGAGAAGCAGTCGAAAAAGTTTCATAGCAGGCGTGTAATAAATCTAACGAAGATAAAACGTTGAATTCAAATGGTATAAAAGGTAGCTTGAAAGGATTTAGCAGAAACGAATTTTGCGCTTTTGAATTAGTATATAAAGGACTTACTAAAATATTATATTTGAGAGTGAGATTTGAAATACATATTTACATGCTATAGAGAAACGTATTGAGTTAAAAGAAGTAATCAGCCATTTTCTGGTATTTATTTGTAAGTTTCTAATAACATAATATAAAATAATATAATTGATATGATAAATATAAAATTACATAATACCTATATGACTTGTACAGTAATAACTAAGTATACATTTGTTTTGTATATATAATTAAGTATATTTGTAATTTTCTTTATTGTAATATTACGTAGATTACCTTATTTAAATTATGTATTGTATTATGTAATGTAGCTAATAATAATACAAATAAATAAAAGTGAAGTGTGTGTTGTAATGTCAAAATAACAATTTTTACTTAATATGTACATATGAAAGTATATACAGTATTTATAAAAAAAACAAAAGTAATTTAATTTTTTTGTCGATTTGTCTGTGTGTTTATTCCGGCTAATTTTGGAAATGGCTGAACCGATTTTGGCGGAATTTTCACTAACAGATGATGTTATGATGATGTAAGGAGTAAGTTAGGCTACTTTTATTTCAGACTAGCATTGCCCGCGGCTCCGCCCGCGTTCAGATGACCAAAAACCAAATTCTTAGGTTTTACATATTTGTATACCCTTACATTGCAGTTTTTGTATTTTTTCTCAGAAATTAGATATTTTCCCGCGGTAAAAATATGTTGATCCGGATAACCAGCTATCACCATACCAAATTTCATCAAAATCCCTCCAGTGGTTTTTCTGTGATGCGGTAACAGACAGACAGAAAGACAGACAGACAGACAAAAATTCTAAAAACTACAGATTCGGGCTCCATATCGATAATATTGTCTTCAGATTCGGCTTAGTTACAATTTTATTATATGTATATAAAAGGAATTAGGGTTCCGCGCAAAAAATAAAACCCATGAAATTGTAAACAAAATCCACGTACGTACCCTAGCGAAGCGAGGGTAGGTCAGTGTGCGTAAAACAAATGATCTATTATAATATAATCTTACAAAACTTTATAGTTTAATGTTATATCAAGGTTTTATTTTCACGATACATCAATTAAGAGCCAATATTACTTAGAAAACTATTTCTATGTAACATAGTATTAGCTTTTATTGTTATGCAGTTCAAAAGTTTCAGAGGTTATTGCAACAATATATACAAATAAACACGCGTTAGTAATAATGTATAATTTTTTATGAGTGTATAAAATAACAAGGATAAATAACTTTATTTGCAGTATAATGTGTAACATAACGCTTTATAACGCTAATTCTGGTAGGGGTTTAGGCAAATGCGGTCATTACGGCATCGCTTAACGACACGACGTACAATTTTCAATGATATTCGTACAAAAGGTCACATTTGATTATAAATTTGTGGTGAATAAATAAATAAATGTGTTGGGACATTAACACACAGCACCATCTAGATCCATGGTAGGCTACGAGGCCTGTGTTATGGATACCAGATAGTTGATACACTACACATATATAACTTTTAAATACATACATATTTAAATATATACAATATTATAAATATAAACACCCATGACTGGAGAACAAACATTCATGCTCATCACACAAATGAATTCCTCAAGCGGGACTCAAACCCGCGATCGCTGGCACAGCAAGTAGGGTCACTACGAACTGAGCCAAACGTGTCGTCAATTGTACTGAATAATGCAAGTTGAGATAATAACCAATAGCATATACTTCTGTCTGTATAACATACTAATTAAACAAATAAAACAAAGAAGCATAGAAAAATAGTGTAATAGTGACTCACTTCACTCGGGTTTTTACCCGCGACGGCCACGGAGACGGTATAATCCTTTGGGGTCTTTGTGTGTGTGCGCCTGTTATCATTTTTCTCGGAAATCGCTAGGCCGATTTCGAAACGGTTTATGCTTTGTATAAGTTTCATTCTTGAGCATTTTCTTAGCTAAGTTTTATAATGTTACAGACCGCCAGGGGCGCTACAGTATACACAAATTTCTTCAAAACGGTTTTTTTACTACTCAAGTTAAAATAAGGCAGCTTTAATACTTAAGTAAATTTAAGGTAGCCGCACGATGGCTGATTGGATGGCGGAATGTCGTGGGTTTTGAAATATTTTGTTTGAAGTTTTTTCATGTCACAATTTTCAATCGTGAGCTTTTTAATTTTTTAATTTTCTTCTAAGGAAACAGATACCTATATTTATCTATCTTTGTCACTCTTAATACCTTTCTGTTCGTCTCATTTTTGTTTGCAACGAACTTTTGTATTTTTGAAGAGATTGTAAATGAAAGATGTCGTCCTTTGAATTACTGTATTTGATAATGATTAGCCACAAAATACTGAGTATGACGACAATGGTTATAAGAGTACATATAAGAATAGGAGTAAGAACAAGAATAAGGGGTTTTAATATAAAATCACTGCCTTATATAGCTAACGTTCTGTCACTTCACTATATTGTCTATTGAACTCACAGATTATCCAAATCACTTCACATCGATGACCGTCTAATTAGGCAAGGACCACACGATGTGGGCGATGGTAAAGTTGCCACGCAATAAAGTGTCAGACGTGTCTTAACATACTCCCCCCGTTGAAGAATCTAATTCTTCAACTGTGTGTCTTCATCGTTGAGCAAGGGGCAAAGGCGAACCAGAGGGCGACGATAACAACCCGTAGTGGTCCGAACATCCGCAACGCGAGAAATCCCGTCTGACCCCGGGTACAGCTTGGCCACTCGTCCAGTACTCCAACATAGCGGTGGCAGAGAGTCTTCGCTTAGAAGCACCAAATCTCCAACCTTAAGTTTAGCCTTATTTGTTTTCCATTTGGTTCGTATTTGTAGTTCGCAGATGTACTCCTTTTGCCACCTCAGCCAGAAATGTTGTTTAATTTGCTCGAGGCGTGCGTAGCGTTTTAATTGTGGTTCCTTTTCATTCTCCAAGGTGCGAGCTGGCAGCGCATTCAGTGGTCTTCCAATTAAGAAGTGCCCTGGGGAGAGGAAAAGGAAATCGTCAGGGGATGTGGATAATGGACACAAGGGACGACTATTTAAAATAGCTTCCACTTGTGCAAACAAAGTTAAAATTTCTTCGAAAGTTAAATGAGAGTTCCCCATGACCCGTCTAATGTGATATTTTGCCGATTTTACACCGGCCTCCCATATGCCGCCGAAGTGAGGAGCGTAAGACGGAGTGAAGTTAAATTTAATGTTTTGTTGAGCTGTAAACTCAGTCAACGCGATGTTTTGTATAGCGGTGAATTTACTAAGTTCCCTTGCCGCTCCTACAAAATTGCGTCCGTTATCGGAATAGATCTCTGTTGGCCTACCGCGGCGCGAAACAAACCTATGCAAAGTCATAATGAAGGCATCTTTAGAGAGGTCACTAACGGCCTCTAAGTGTAAACATTTAAAACGAAGGCAGATAAATAAACATAGATAGCATTTCATTAATCTGGCCCCGCGGCCTTTACGATTTACAATATAGAATGGTCCGGCCATATCAGTTCCAACGGACTTAAAAGGAAAGTCAGGAGTAATGCGTTGTGAAGGCAATTTACCCATTTTCGGCAATAATGTATTACCCTGTACTCGTCGACAACGCACACAATTACGAACGGTAGAACGTGCTAATAGTCTACCCCTAATTGGCCAAACTGTTTGTCTAATTGTAGCTAGCAGCAGTTGAGGACTGGCATGCATATTACGAATATGTTCATATCTGAACAATAATTTACACAAATGATGTGAGGAATGTAAAAGTATTGGATGAATTTTATCATAGGAAAAATTAGAAGTATCTAGACGTCCGCCAACTCGCAATAAATTATCCTCGTCAATATAAGGTGATAAATTTAAAATTTTAGATTTAGAACTTAATTGCTTATTATTATGTAAAGTTTTGTATTCTACAGAAAAACTTTGTTGCTGAGCTATTAAACATAATGATTTAAAAGATTTATTTAGTTCATCGACAGTTAGTATACCAGAGAGCCTATTCTTGAAATTTCTTAAATTGTTTATAAACCGAAGGACATATGCCATTGTTCTTTGTAATCTGTTGAAGTTAGAAAATCGTTCAAAATCAATTAATTCAATAGGTTTTGTGATCATTACCGTGGCTGTGAATTTCACATCAGGTAAATCAACGTTGTCACAAGACTTTAAAGCAGGCCACTCATTCTGATCTTTAGTCAAGAATGTTGGTCCGTGCCACCACAAGTCTGAATTTTGCAACTGAATTAAAGTAGTAGCTCGTGAAATTAAATCAGCAGGATTATGATCGGTAGGTACATAGCGCCAAGCAGATAGTTTGGTATTTTCCTGAATTTCCCCTACTCTGTTAGCTACAAAGGTTTTTTGTCTAGTTGAGTCACTACTGAGCCATCCCAGGACAACACTAGAATCAGACCAATAAGTGACAGAATTAGGAGTAAATCTAATAGAATTTATAACAGCTTTGCCTAAACGACTTGAAAGTAAGGCGGCGCATAGTTCTAATCGAGGAATTGAAACAGGCTTTAAGGGGGCTACCTTTGATTTGGAGCACAGGAGCTTTACTTCAATGTGATTATTTGAAGAGGTAACCCTAGCATAGATACAAGCACCATAACCAACCAAAGAAGCATCACTAAAACAATGAATATCAATAATTTGTGGTGACTCACTAAGGACAAATCTAGGAATTTGAAAATTAGAAATTAATAACAAGTCCCTAGAAAAATCCCTCCAAGCGTTTTCAATGTCTATCGGTACTGGTTGATCCCAATCGGATTTAAGCTTCCATAATTTTTGTAACATAAGTTTTGGCTGCATGATGTATGGGCTTAACAAACCGAGTGGGTCAAAAATCTTGAATGCATCAGACATGATGCTTCTTTTTGTAATATTATTTCTCAAAGGAGGAATATTAACTGGAAAATATAACATGTCATTATTTGGATTCCAACCTAAGCCTAGAGTACTCGAAGCCTCACTTAACATAAAATTTTCTTGCAAATTTAAATTACAATTATCAAAAATAGAACTTAGATTACTTTTGTATTTACGCAATTTAAAACAGCCTTTGTCTAATTCTTGTGCAACTGAATTTTGAATATAATTTAGTTCCTCGCTATCATTTGAACCTGTTATGAGGTCATCAACATAAAAATCCTTTTGTATAATATTTTTAATAATACTATTGTCGCATTCCTCTCCTATCTGCCATAGACACCGTGTACTTAAATAGCTGGCACTTGCTGTTCCGTAAGTGACAGTGTTCAACTGCATTGTTTTAATGGGTAAAGATTCATCTTCTCTCCACAAAATCAGCTGTAAATTTCTGTCATCTGGACTGACCTCTATTTGGCGATACATTTTTTCTATATCCCCGGTTAACAAATATTTATATGTTCTAGCTCGGATTAATATGGAGAAAAGAGAATCCTGGATGTTAGGTCCAACCATTAGCAAATCATTGATTGAAAAGCCAGAAGAAGAGGACGCGGAACCATCAAATACGACCCTAAGTTTAGTCGATTCGCTGGATGCCTTAAAGACAGCATAATGACATAGAAAATAAGAAGGATCTGGTAAAGCAACCGTAGATTCCGACAGACGGCCTAAGCTTTGGTATTCTCTAATGAATTGAATATATTGAGACTTTAATGAGGTATTTTTTCTGAAACGTTTTTCTAAATTTAATAGTCGCCTTTTTGCCAAGTTATATGTTTCACCTAAACAATCAGGAGAATCGCGTAATGGAAGCTTGACACTAAACCTGCCGGAAGGAAGCCGTAAAGTGTGAGACCGGAAGTGGTTCTCACAGGCTAATTCTGTTTCGCTTAGAATTGTTTTCTGGGGAAGCTCTTCTAGCTCCCAAAATTTTGCTAGTAAATTGTCGATTTTGTTTTCGTTTGGGAAGTTGTCATTAATGACTGAATTATTGCAAAGTACTTGTTTAGCTTGATAAGAAATAGGACCACCAATTAACCAACCAAAACTGGAATATTGTAGTATAGGCTTGTTTGCACCTAAAGAAATACGGTCGTTTTTCATGAGTTGCCAGAAGAGATCGGCTCCTATTAGTATATCAATAGGAGCTGGCTGATTGAAATCGGGGTCAGCTAAATGCAAGTGCGATGGTATGTTTAATTGTTGTATATTTATAGGTGCCTTAGGCAGATTCCCAGTCAGCCTATGAAGCACAAGACAATTTAACTTTGTCTTAAAATTATTGTAAATGGATTTTAATTGGATCACACAGCTTTCCTTGATTTGGTTGTCTGAGTGACCGATACCAATGACGTTAACAGAAATTGGATTTGAATTGATTGCAAGTTTTTGTTGAAGAGATTTTGTAATGAAAGATGACTGACTGCCCGAGTCCAACAAGGCCCGTACTTTAAGAGGCTCATTAGTCGTTGGATTCAAAATGTATACTTGGGCAGTAGACAAAATAATTTGATTTGAATTTTTGTTTGAATAATTTGCTGAAGTCTCAGAGACATCACCAGAGGCATTGTTGACCTTTGGTGTATCAGCTGGATGCAATAAAGTATTGTGTTGTTTCTTACATATCTTGCATGGCCCTAATCGACATTCGACTAAAGAGTGACCCTGCTTTAGACAATTAATACATAATTTGTGCTTTGAAATATCGTTTAATTTGTCCTTTCTGGACTTGGATTTGAATAATTGGCAATCATAAATCCTATGATTTTGATTGCAGACAATGCACCTACGCGAACTGCTATTGTCGTTTGGATTTGTAGTAATAAATGACTTTGAAATAGGTCGATCACGCTGATTATAATGATGATAACTGACAGGCTTTGAATTTTGAATTCTATTATTGTTATTATGAAAACTAGAACCTTGATCATTCTTATTGTGACGTGTACATTCAAGAACATAAGCCCGATCAATTAAAAATTTATTAAATTCGGTTAAACTAGGAATTTCACCTAAACTATTGCGTTGCTCTTCCCATTTAACAAGTGTTTGCGTATCGAGTTTGGATGAAACCAAATATATAATTAACGTGTCCCAGTGATCAGTAGGTTGACCTAGGTTAGCTAAAGCACGTAAATTTTTGAAACATGATCGACTAAAGAGCGTAATGAAGTATCCGATTCGCGGTTTATTTTCTCAATATTGAATAATGATTTAATGTGATAATTTACAAGTAACCTTTTATTATTGTAACGTTCATAAAGTAATTGATAAGCGCTGTTATAGTTGGCTGCGGAAACCTCAATGTTTGAAATTACCCGAGCTGCATCGCCTTCCAAAAAAGAAACTAAATAATGAAACTTTTGAATTAATGAAATGCGGCTATTGTTGTGAATTAAATTATTGAAAGTATCTCGAAACTCTAACCAACGGAAGAATGAACCATCAAACTTTGCAATTTGTATTTGCGGCAAGGTTATAGAATTTTCATTATTATGATCGCGACCACAATGAGCATCTTGGAATAAGGACTCACGGCGTCACTTATCCTGTTCTAAATTCTTTAATTCATTTTGTTCTTCAATAATATTTTTTGCCATCGCGGTACATAATATGATATCTTGCTCAATGCGTTCACGTTCATCGAGCTCTTCGTCTAAAGTATCAGCATTTATTAATTCAATTTGAGTTTGCAGCTCATCATATTTAGCGGACAGACTCTCAAAGCGACTGACCTTCAGTGAAAGCTCAGCCACTTCGATACCCGTCAATTGAGATTGCCTTGTAATCTTGTCTAAATAATTTTTGAATTTAGTAATTTGTCCCTTTATGGAACTTCGCTTTACTATTAAAACCTTTATCCCGGACTCTTTGTACATAGTTGATACTGAAGGTTCGGACATTGTGAAAAATATGGATAAAAAATACTTTATGTAATTATAGTAATGCAATAATAGTAAGTAAAATTATAAAATAGAAAACTGTATGAACTAGAACAATACTAAAGTTATTTGTATATGTATATGAATATGAATTATGTAAACTACAATTGAATTTAAGTTACTTAATTACAAGACACCTCAAAAGGAAAATAAAATAAAATAATGTAAATGTCTTATCTGACGCTCCTCAATTTATATATGTAGCAATATACTCTATGCTCCTCAATCAACGACACATAGCAGACCGGCGCGGCGCGGCAAGACAAGATGGCGAAGCCCCGACCACGTGGCGCGCCTCATGTACCGCAACGCTGAAATAGTCGGCCAAATCTAAGAAAAAAAATTTAAGAATAGGAGTAAGAACAAGAATAAGGGGTTTTAATATAAAATCACTGCCTTATATAGCTAACGTTCTGTCACTTCACTATATTGTCTATTGAACTCACAGATTATCCAAATCACTTCACATCGATGACCGTCTAATTAGGCAAGGACCACACGATGTGGGCGATGGTAAAGTTGCCACGCAATAAAGTGTCAGACGTGTCTTAACACTTTCTATTGCCATACAGAACTCCATTGATGATATTATATCAAACACACTGTAATAGTAATAAATGTTACGTGCAATAGAAAAAATGTTTTTTTTCTTTGTAGCAATATCTATGGCAAGACTAATAAGTTTTATTTTAATTTATTTTTATAATTTAATTAAATTTTAAATAATAGACTAATGAGTTTTATGTTAACAAGCATTATTCTACATAAGCTATTTTCCCGCAGTAAATAATAGCTTATGTTACTTCAGTCCTCTAACTTGGTTTATGTACAATATATGCCTTGGTTTCGACGTGAAAAAAGAATAAACAAATAAACACATGTTATAGATAATATTATAAATTTGTTTATTATGTTTATAATAAACAAATAAGGGTTACAATATTTTCAGTTAATTTATTCTGATATGGAGCTTACAATTAAAATGTATTGATATTGAGGTGAATAAAGCATCTACTTCGCGTAAGACCGCAACCGACGGGTGAATACCATTATAATTGAACAATATTTGAGGCCCAACTAAATTGTAGCGTTCCCCATATTATAAATTAAAATATTCAGTGAGCATACGTGCGAATTATTTAATTAAAATACAAAATTAATTTCAAATGCTATGATAAACGTAAAACATATTTACACATCGAATTGTTGTTCTCTATTTCACTTGCCCAGACTAAAGAATTATGTAGATGGAGCTAAAATAAATGTCGAAGTCAAAAATAGTAGTGGGATTTGCTGTTTATGCTACTATTCTTGACTTTGCGATACAGATCGTTTACTTTCTTAAAAGAATAAGCGAAATTTTATATATGTACTAGTATTATTCCTTAGTCTGAGTTCACTTGTTATAATACGTTAAGATTGAAATGTATAGACAGTTTCTTTGTAATAATCACTAGCGATCATGCATAAAAGATTATTCTTACCAAAAATTATTACACAAATAAAAAAAATAAAATAAAACATTTTCTTATTAAATGAAACTAATTAGAATGTTCGCATTTTTTCGAATTTTGTCGCAGATTTATTTAGATAATTTGTTCAACTTGGCAAACATGGCCACGGGACGGACAAACAGTCTCTTCCCTCTCTCTTGCTATAATCTAACAATACCTCTATTTAATTTTTCATAATATTCGAATGTAACATAAATGTTAAAAAGGAAATTGAAATGATTTAAAATTGCTGAAACAAAATATTGAACATGGAAAATGTATTTTCAGTACAAAATAATCCGACTTGAAAAGAACAAAACGTTACACGTGCATTCTGAAGACAATGACGAACTTACGTTTACGACTCGAGTATTAAAACTGTAGGTAATCCCTATATATGCATCGTTCAATACTTTTGTGATACGAAGCAGAAAATCGTGAAAAATATGTATATTGGCAATTTTTAAACCCTGAAGGAAAAAGGGGTGATATGAGTCTAACCCCTATGTCAATATCTGGCATCATAGCTCTCTAATGATAGATCAATTTCAATGAGGTTTTCGTTATATCTTCTTACTTTATATTTTTCTAGTTTCATCTGCATTAAACATAATTTAAATGTTTGTTTCCCCATACAAACTTTAATCCCCATTATCACCCCCTTAAGGGATGATTTCCGGGATAAAAACTATCCTATATCCTTCCCAGGGTCTCAAACTATCTTTTTGCGAAATTTCGTCTAAATTGGTCCAATCGTTTCAGAGTTTATTCGGTACAAACAAACAAAATCTTTCCTCTTTATAATATTAGTTTAGAAGTATAATACGTTAAGCTACGAGTATGGTGTGTCTTAGAATATAATAGAATTACATATATAAGTACCTACCTACTAAGTTATACTTTTCTAATCAGATTTAATAAAAAATATAAAATAAAGAAGTCGAAAATACTCATAGTTTTTGAATGAAGTTGATTTTAAAGCTTTCTTGTATATAGTAGTAGTAGAATTCAATGCGGTAAATCCGCCTTGAATTCTGGGTACTGGAAAAGAGACACAAGAGAAAAAATTGTTTATCAGTCTATGTATGTACGTATGTATGTTTGTTCCTATATGGCGTTCTAGAGACCAAACGCGTTACGCGTCGAGACAAAACCGATTTTGGATGATTCATACGTCGTTACATTTGTCTTGATAACGCGTTTCATCCTTGCCACAAAATGTATGCACATGCGTATGTCTCTGACTGCATAATACCTTATTGTTTTCATCTTTTTATGCGGGTGGGTTTTATATTCTTATAATATTTTTTTTTACAATATTACAATTGAATCCAATGATCTTGTTAAATACAATATGACACAATTTTGCATAAAATATTTAACATCTACCATACAATATACTATCACAAAACATTACTATTATTTATCTTCAATATTTTTTCAAATAAAAAGAGCACAACGAAAAAAATGGCAGTCTTACAAAATAAGTCACCATTTAAATCCTTTGGAACGACATTTTTACCTTTAAATACAGTTTTTATCTCCGGCGAGATTTATTGCACGACTCGCTATGGAACTTTCAATTTTCGAAGTACTGTTCTACGAACGAATTAGCTACCGCTGGGCGATAAATTATAGAATAATATTTTAATTGTGAACAATTGCATAATATGCTGGAATGCTTGTACAGTTTAAAAATCTATACATATAATAAAATTGTAACTAAGAAGAATCTGTACATTAAATATTTTTTTGGAAAATCTTATTGAAATAAACATTATTATCGATATAGAGGCCGTATCTATAGTTTTTAGAATTGTTGTCTGTCTGACTGTTTGTCTGTCTGTTACCGCATCACAGAAAAACCACTGGAGGGATTTTGATAAAATTTGGTGTTGTGATAGCTGGTTATCCGGGTCAGCATATAGGATACTTTTTAACGCGGGAAAATATCTCATTTCTGAGAAAAAATACAAAAACTGCAATGTCAGAGTATATTAATATGTAAAACCTAAGAGTTTGGTTTTTAGTCATCTGAATGCGGGCAGAGCCGCGGGCAATGCTAGTATCTTATATAACTGTATAATGAACTCAAAGACTTCTAAAACCTTAGTCCCTACCGTGACCCTGATTGTTGTAAAGAATTCGAAACGTCGGGAGCCAAAAATCAAATTAAATTCACGAAAAAATACGAAAAGATAGTTTTATTTCAAAAACATTACGTTATAAAAATATAACTTAAGGTTTCTAGGCATGAAAACCTTAGGTTATAGATTGGATTGTCTGTAATTTCGAAAGAAACCCCTATTGAATTGGCTATTAGCGCGATACCAAGGTAACTACACTGCGACCATTAGCAAACTACCAATAAGCAAATTGTTTGTTTATCTGTCTGTTTGTACTGTATAGTCTGGGAAATTGCTGAAAGGATTTTAATGGACGAATTCATTGAGTTTGAACGAGAATGACATAAGCAACTTATTTGCTGGAAAATAAAAAAAACACGCGTTATAGAAGATAAAAGAAATATAATATAAAATTGTTTTTCAAATTTTATTGATTAAGATTATTTCAAGTTAAACTACGACTGTACCGTACAAAGTATAATTTTTACATAATATTAAGTACTTCATCTAACTATACATATAATAAAGTTCTGAGTCGAATCTGTACATTAAATATATTTTTGGAAAAACTTATTGAAATAGTCATTGTTGTCGATACAGAGGCCGAATCTATAGTTTTTATAATTTTTGTTTGTCTGTTTGTGACCGCATTACGAGATAACATTTGGACAGATTTTGATGAAATTTGGTATGTTGATGCGTACAGAATTTTGATGAAATTATTGAAAAGTGCAAATACAAGTGCGAAATTCGAAGTAGTTGAAACGCAACGTCATTGGTCAGATCGAATGTGACGTCAAATCTATTATAATAGATACTTACAATCTAGACCTATTAGTTCATTGATTCAATGATGTCATAGACTATGACCTCACGCCAAGCGCGCCAAAATGGTTGGCATTTAAAGCATTCTTATGATATTTTTAAATTATTTGTTTATACTAAATATTATTTTTTTGGAGCTAGATATATTTTTTTCAATTATATAACGATGTAAGGTATTGTATAAAAAAATACGTGCAAGGGGAGTCTATTGATATACATTGGAGATTATTGCAATAAGTGTAATATTGATTTCATTATAATATGAATTACTATAATTTAAACGCTCTTTTTTGTTTATATTCAAAAGATAAAGTATAATATAAAATATGTAGTAAGTAATCATGTTGAATATTTTTTTTCAACATGATTACCACTTGTCTTACGGTGAAGGAAAACATCGTGAGGAAACCTGCATGTCTGAGATAACCTAACAAGTTTTCGAAAGATATGTGAAGTCTGCCAACCCGCAGCCGCCAGCGTGGTGGCCTGATCCCCCTCGTAATGAAGACAGGCCCGTGCCCGGCAGTAGGACGTCAAAAAGGGCTGAATATAAATGATAAAGCCCCAATCTTTTTATGAGATATCTTGTCGTAAGCATTGTTAAAACTTTAATTTTTTTTAAGATTAACCGAGTGAAGTCACCAGAAAGGACTAGTATTAAATTCTGTACACAGACTTTATTGTAAAACAAATTTTCCCTTTACTTCGAAGTCATACGATCACAACTCTATTCTATGAGGCGTGAAATTCATCACGAAACAATTTAACCGCGAGATTTCAAAAAATCAAGGTGCAGAAATATTTTTCCCACGATTGAAAATAGAATAAGAAAACTTTCTGTCATAGAAATAGGGTATATACCAAAAAGCCATCTTGTTCGCTTCCAAAAGTGCAATTGAGCCGTGATTTTTGCAGCCGCTCTAAGTAAACTATAATCTAGGACCTAAGTTATAAAGTTAGGGTGCTTGTACACTGTAATTCCTACAATATTACATACTAGCGAGTGGACTATGGAGAACGACTGGACTGATTTTGACGAGACTTTCACTGGAAGATAGCTGATGTTATAGGAAGTAACGTAGGCTACTTTTATTTTCCCCCCCAACGTGCGTTCACCTTGTCGTGGTGGGGGGGCTCAGTAGTGTACTCGCGAAGCCAAGAAACGCACAGGGAGGTGGCCCGCTTCGGTGGGCGGTGGGAGGCGGCCTTCTTCGGAGGGTGGTGTACCATGCGGGTTGCTCCTGGTACTTCTCTGATAGCAGAGTGGACCGTGGAGCAACCCCATGGTTGTTGTGGTCTGCTTCGGCAGACCTGCCGTCGGGGCGTCGTAGTTGAATGCGTAAGCGATCCTGCGACGCCCCATTAAGACGGGGGAAGGTTTTGTTGGGTTTTAGTGGGTAGTACTGGCTTCGCCGGTGAGTCCCACACTTCGTGCGTAAATGCATTTCCCAACGTTAAAAAAAAAAGGCTACTTTTATTTTAGAAAAAGAATTAGGGTTCCGCTGAAAAAAAGTAAAACGTACGAACCCGAGCAAAACGAGGGTGAGTCGCTAGTCTATTCATTAAATTCAGAATTGTAAAAAAAAGTACATAATACATATTATTTTTATTTATTTTATTTATTTTTTTTATTTATTTATTTATTCAGGTAAAAACAGTCGTAAACAAAAAATCTAAAACAGTAAGGATACAATTAGACCTATATTACCCTAAATTATTACAAATGAACTGATTTGTCATCAAAAGTGACGGATGCTAAATAAGTATGTTTACCAAAATAAGTGAAACTAAATTAAATAAAAAAAAAATATTAAATAAAACTAAATTGAAGCTACTAAAAAAGAAACAAAAATACATATGTCTTATACAATATTTAGAAATAAATAAGTTTATACAAAATTTCCGAAAAACTAAAACATTGATTGGTTTGTACCTACTGGCAAAATATAGAAAGCAATTATAGTAATAGTAACAAATAAATTTTAATAATATTATCATAGTACAAACTATAAACAATAAAAGCCCATAGTTAGAATATTATACGAAACACTTGCTTTTTATACATACTTAGTTTACACGAAAAAATATCAACAACAGTTAAATTATTATTATAGAATGAACAAGAACGCCTGAGAAAGGTATTTTTTGCATACCTAGTATGATATGAAGGTATATGAAATGTATCTTTGGAACGAGAGGAAGAGGAGCGGGGAATTTTGAAAGAGATGAGGTTTAATAAATCTGTGGAGTTTACATAGTTATTAACAATTTTGTATAAGTATATGGTATCTAAATAATTACGCCTGGAGTGCAAAAGCTGCATATTATGTCTTGTCAAACTCTCCTCGTAGTTGGTATAATAAAAACCAGTACGATAGTCCAGAGACTTCACGAACTTCCGTTGCACTTTTTCAATTCTTTGGATGTGTACCATATATTGAGGACTCCATACAATACTTCCGAATTCGAGAATGCTTCTCACATACGCGTTATATAGTATTTTTAGTGTATTACCTCGAGTAAAAGGTTCGCTTAGACGGAGGATTAATCCTAAACGCTTAAAAGCTTTAGCTACAATTTTGTCAACATGAAGGTTAAAGTGCAGTTTGCAGTCTAGCGTGACACCAAGGTCACGAACTTCGGTTACTCTGTTCAGAGTATTTCCTAGTAATTTGTATTTATAAATATGGGGCTGATGTTTTCTAGAAAAAGTTATTACGCAGCATTTATCAACATTAAGGAACAAATGATTATTATTACAATATTGCTCAAATTGATATAAATCTTGCTGTAACTCAAGACAATCATCATCACAACGGACAATTTTATAAATCTTGGTATCATCAGCGTATAACAAATGATGAGAGTTTCTAATGCAAGAGTTCATATCATTTATATATAAAGTAAATAAAAACGGCCCTAAATGAGAGCCTTGAGGGATTCCAGACGAGATTTCCACAAAATTAGAGACATACCCCTTGAGTGCAACAGCTTGGCTACGGTTGTTTATATATGAACATACCCATCTAAGAAGATCGCCGTGTATACCAATTCTCGAAAGCTTCCTTATTAAAACAGAATGATTAATCTTATCGAACGCTTTCGAGAAGTCAGTATACACTGCATCAACCTGATGACCTACATCAAGAGCATTAAGCAAAAAGTCAGTGTACATCACAAGATTTGAATTTACACCACGACCACGATAAAATCCATGTTGTTCGGGAGCTATTACATGATACAAGTGAGAGGTAAGTATATTAGTTATAATTTTTTCAAAAATTTTACCAAAAATGTTTAACTTTGATATGGGTCTATATTGCTTTACGTCGTGTATATCACCCCCTTTAGGAATGGGGGTGATGATAGCTTTTTTCCATATACTCGGGAAACAGCCTTCAGTTATGGACTTATTGTAAATAATAGTAAGTGGAGTTGAAAGCTCTTTACAAAGTTTTTTTATTAAAACTGGGTGAATACCATCATGACCGGCACCTTTATTTACATTAACTTGCTCAAAGTGCTTTAAGACAACTTCACGTTGAATATCAACAGTCGATATATTAACTGAAGACATATTGACCTCGTCATCAACGGCAATGTGGCTGTTAATTGTGTCAGTTTGAGGGACAAAAACTGACTTAAAATATTCGTTAAACATGTTAGTGATTGTTTCTAGGTTATTGGAAGATACATTATTAAATTTCATTTCGGCAGGAATATTATTGGAGCCAAATTTAGATTTGACAAATGACCAAAAATATTTTGGGAAGGTTGAAATCTTATCTTCAGAGAAAATTATATATCGTTCGTAGCATTCACGTTCAACTCGTTTTTCTCGAGAACGTAAGGCAGAGTACAACTGATAATCTCGGTCATTTCGGTATTTTTTCCATTTAGAATGCTTATTCATTTTTTGTCGTATTAATTTTATAAGATTACGGGAGTACCAAGGAGGGTAATTAGAATGTGATTTAACAGGTTTTTTTGGAATATACACGTCGATTAAATTCTGTAAAATATTATAAAAGTAACTGACGGATTCTTCGGTATTTAAGGTGGCTAGATCAGCAATCCAATTGACTCGCGATATTTCTTTGCCAATCGCTTTAAAATCAGCCGCATGATAAATTAGTTTGAGACGCGTTTTTACGTTTTGTATAAAAGCATGCGTTTGTAGATTGAGAGTTATATCTAAAGATTTATGATGCGCATCCTCTGGGGTTAACGGTGTGGTAGAATTGGACACAGTGCACTTATCGCTACTAAGTACTAAGTCTAAAACTCGTCCGTTGCTATTTACACAGCCATTGTATTGCCTAAAATTGGATAAATTCATAAAATCGCACAAGTCCCCCGCTAAGCCGTCGCTATTTGTACTTAGTTTAAATGATTGAGTCGAATCGTTAAAGCTATCCCAACTAGCGTTAGAAATATTGAAATCTCCAAGTATTAGAAAATTATCATTTAGATTATTTTGCAAAATGTCAAATGTGTTGTCGTAAAAGTTTTGTAAAGATTCAGAATGATTGTTACCGTGCGGGAAGTAACAGCAAGCTACAATGCAAGTTGGAGGAAACGTTAGCGGCGCGACAGGGTCGGGGCGCGGGGCGGGAGGGGCGCGCGGCCCCCACCGCAGCGGTCGTGGCGGCGTCAAGCTCGAGCGTCACCCATAGCTCCTCGGCGGCGGGCCTCGAGCGCCACTCGGGCCGGGGCCGCGCGCGCAGTTCGCGTCGTGCCGCTATGAGCACGCCGCCGCCCCGCGCGCCCTGCCCGTCTGTGGATTTCCTATCTTGCCTAAAAACAATGTATTTGGTATGGAAGTATTCTGCATCGTGATAATCCGGAGTTAGCCAGGTTTCGGTCAAGACAATTAAATCGTAGTCGCTCTGTAGAACATTAGCTAAGAAAGAGTGTGATTTAGTGCGTAATCCTCTTACGTTCTGGTAGTAAATTGATAAGGAATTAAACGAAATCAGATTGAATATATAAAATATACAAACAAGACAATTATGATATATAAATAAATTATTATATAAAAAAATAATAATATTGTGATAAATTCTGAGGTATTGTAAAGTACCTTTCTCGGGCTTGTATCGTTAAAATCTATAAAAAAGAACATAAAGGACAAAAATATAAAACAATATGATTGGCAGTATGTAATACCAATTAGTATTTCTTTATAGTTGTTGATAAAATTCGTGGGTACAATATATACAAATAACTGGTGTATGTGAGTGATTTTTGTTGTATCTATTGCTATTGATAAGTGCATGTATTTCTGCATAATGAATATCAGATAATAATGAAATAAATTAATAACAAAGACGTTATGCGTTCGGAGTAAACATAAGAAGCTTATTTTAGAACAATGCGTAAAACATAAGGGAAAAAGAAAAAATAACATTATAAATATTAATAAATCGAACGAACAACGATGACACAAATAGTCATTTAATTTTAAGTAGGTCACTCTCGCACGAAATACGTATGATATTAGAATTATCATTTTTACGAATAAGTATCTTGCTGTCTTTAACCCACAAGTATGAATAGTTTTTTTCGAGTTTAAGTTCGCGTGCTCGCTTTAGTAGTAGTTTGTTCGTTGGAGTGAGGTGATCACCAATGTACACGGTGCTCGCCGGGCCGGGCAGTCCGATGTGTGCGGTGGTGAGGCCGCGGCGCGCGCGCACGGCTGCGATCAGCTGATCCTTGCGCCGCCGCTGGCAAAACCGCACTATAATAGACGCCGGCCGAGTAGGTTCATTGTTGCTTTCCGTCCTACTCGATGGGTATGGACGAACTCGATGTATAGAATCGATATCATGATCGCTCAGTTGAAAACCCACAGTTGCGCATAAGTCATTTAATATTGTATAGACGTTTTCACCTTTCTTTGTCGGTATACCGGAAATTTCTATGTTGTTCTGTCGCGAATATTGATCGTGTGAATTATTTTGCGCTTTTAATTCAGCTATAGTTTTTTGTGTCGATAATAAGTCTTTTTTGCACAATGGATAACGTAGATAGTTTTTGCTCTGAAGAGGTCAATCTACGATCGAATTCAATAAATCGACCTTCCATTGTGTCAAGTTTGCTGCTCAATTCTTTTATATGTTGCATGGTGCATTGAATATCAGATTTTATGTTAGTAAATTCTACCTTCATCGTGCTAAAATCGTTACGAAAACTTTTTATCTCTTTTAACACGTCTGACAAAGAGGGGTGTGTCTCCGTGAGTTGAGGTGAACGGCAAGTAATGCACCGCCAGCCGGCTTTTTTTTCCACTCCCATTTTTCTGTAGCTAAGCTCCGAAACCCCGGCACAAACATAGTGGTACTGTCCACCGCACTTATTGCACAACACAAAATCCTCAACAACATCGTTGCACTTTGGGCAGATCATATTATTAAACTTTAAAGTTCAAAAAACAAATATATTAATAATTTGTAATTTGTAAGTAGGTAAATGTAAATAAACTAAGGAGCTGATTTATTGCATCCGTCACTTACGAGAGCGACAACCGGACTGAGAGCGACAACCGGACTGAGAGCGACAACCGGACTGAGAGCGACAACCGGACTGATATATTATGTAAATACTTTTCTATATGGGAATGACATAAACTGGCCACTTGATATATTTAACTAAGTTCGTAGCTAAGCTCGTTTCATTGAAGCTTTTTTTACAAATCTGTTACAGTGAATGTTTCAGTAAAGATATTCTATATCTAATAGTTAACTTTTTTACAATCACAAAAAAGCTTCTATAAAAACTAGTATATAGAGCCGAAAATTTGTTTGTTTGAGCGCATCTCTGGAACTGCAGAGTCGAAAAACCTTACTACAACTTTTTGTAGAGGAACAATATTATATATAAATTAACTAAGCAAGTAGAACCGTGAGCGAATGCTAGTAAGAAATATACTATTCAGCAACATACAGCATGCTTCCCTCTACGTTACACATCTCGGGGTTGATCTTTATTTAGGATATTACATTACATTGTTTACATTAAATCGATCTGGTTAAAATTATACCTGCATTTAATAACCACTAAAATCATAATATCTACTTAGGCGAAGAGCGTAGTAAAAAGTCTCATTCATGTTTTTATGTACCCCAAAGGGAAAGATTGTGATAAAAATTACAGTATTTTCTTAAGGTAAGGTGTTTTTTAAACCTTATTTGTATATCAAAAGATATTCATTACTAAACCAAAAGGCATCATGTGTAAATCGCCTTACATCTCAGTACAACCCAATGCTAGACTCATTCGATTTCAATTTACTCGCAATCACGACGGAGGCAGTCAGCGACAAATTGCGCTACGTACCTTCAAAGGTTGGAGACGTATGATTTAGATTTCAAAATCAAATACTCAGGAGTATGGAATAAAGATATATACAAAATTTGCTATTATTTATATTGTATTTCCTACGGTTTCCTCTTCATGTGTACTCTTATTTGATCCACAGTACTTTTGCATGAATGGGTTAGCCTGAATAGGAAAATATAACTCTTATATATCGGCAAAATGTAGCAATGCCAATTTGCTTCCTCTTGACCGATTTCGCTAATCTTAGTATGACTAGCCTGCCCAGAAAATATTCTAGTGCACAAGAATACTAATAATATAGCTAATAAGCTAGCAAACGTTTTGGTTTTGCTGCTATTAAATCTTTCAAACAATCCCATAGCAAATTTTACGCAACTACCTATAAATGAAATGCTTAGATAAAACGATTTTAATAATCAATTACCTCTTTTTTTAACGTTGGCAATAAAATATTATAATAAATATAATAATGCATTTATCATTTAAGCATACCACCTGCAAACATACAGGTGGTTATGTGTACTCACCTTCTATAAAGCCAGTACTCACTGAAGCTCAATGGAAACCTTTTCCATCATAATGGAACGCAATAAGATAATAAGGTACTAAACCACCAAGCCTCGAGGGCCCCTTACCGAGACAGACCTCCTCCTAACCGATAAGCTGACAGCCTCCGACCTCACATTCTTTCGGCTTGTCTGACCTTGGGAATAGAGGTAATTTTTAATGAGGTTGTCAACCTACCCGGTCATGATAACCAAGGGGTTACTCTCACGGGCCACTTAAATATTAAAGACATCACACATTAACACAGATTGGGGGTATCTAAGGGGTCTCTCGACACAATAATTCAACCCTAATGTTATGGAGCCTATACTAACTTAGTAACTAACTAACTTAGTAGTTAAGAAACCTTTTATACTAGAGCTTTAAGCTTTATTCTATGATCTTGATGAGCTTTAACAATAAAAAAGAAAATCTTATTTTCATTTAAAACTTTGTCATTCTACACAAAAAGTTTACCACCCTCATTTAATATAATAACGTTAAGTGTAAATTACAAAAACAATGTAATAAGTATGGACATAAACGATGGAGAGATTAAATTTTTACATCTCAACGTGTATAAAGTCCGTTTATTTAGGTACAAACGTTGATTAGACTCTCACGAATTTTTCTGAAAAATAATTTCTTCTCTCAAAAACTCCCGTCGAGTATAAACTTGAATAGCTCTCGTAATAGGGATCAGTTGTCTTTGTTAACAACGGAGGATATTTTCTTTGTCTTTAGATATAGCGGTGCGATACGATTTTTAAATATAGATATATTCAAAATAAATATAAAAGGAACTTCAGTTTGAAAATTGTTTTAAAACTAGCGACTCACCCTCGCTTCGCTCGGTTACGTCCCGAGGTTGCTTCCCGTTTTAAATTTTCATCCCCATTTTGCACCCACTTAAGAGATAATTTCCGGAATAAAAACTATTGAACTAAGATCCCGCTGCAAGATTGCTACGTTCATAGCGTATTTAATGAAAATATTTTTTTATATACAATAATAAAAGGGACTATATGTTTTGATCAGAGTGCCTATTAAAATGTCCTCGCTAGTATGTTCAATTAAATAAATGATAATTGAATTTTTGAACAAAATCGATGCAGTTGTTATTAAAATGAATTATACTCCAATTCACAGAAATATACGTAGAGATCTTAAAAAATGATAGCTGCCGTTGCGCACTTGGCCACAACCTCTTCGCAGCCAGTGTGAGCATATCATATTTTGTAACATTTATACGTTCATGGCATGCATGATTAAATATCTCTACCTAACTAAGAATAACTATGTAACAGTAAAAAGCCTGTAATAAGATTAAGCTATAATAGTTAAAAATTGTATATTGACCTAGAACCTAAGTATAACCTACAAAATTACTGAAAATTGTAAAAATTAAACAAAAATGTAAACAACGACTCCAACGAGGTGTTCTGTAAATTGAAAAAAAAAACCTCTACCTATGTAAAAGTGGCCGCAAAGGAAAGAAAAGAAGGAAAGAATATAATATTATATATCATTTGTCAGACAATAACAACGGTTACCATGGCAACAAACAGTTAACTAACGCGCTAACTCTCTTTCACTTTAATCTATCTTTGCCATTTATTATTGTATATAAAAATTGATTTTGATTAAATACGCTATGAACGTAGCAATCTTGCAGCCGGATCTTGGTCCATATCCTATGTCCTTCCCAAGGTCTCAAACTATCCTCTTACTAAATTTCATCTAAATCGGTTAAGTAGTTTAGAAGCTTATTCGGTACAAACAAACAAATAAACAAAAAAATCTTTCCTCTTTATAACATTAGTATAGATAACTGTTTCACCATTAGGTGTGGAATTTACTCTCATTTTTAAAATATTTATCTACTTTCTTATAACAATAATTTCAACATAATATTTATTAAAAAATAATATTTAAAATCGATTCACAATAAATAATGCTACCGTGTAACATACACAGAAAACAAACAAATTCAGTACATGTGCCTTTTTAAAATCGATTAAAAAGATGCAAAACATTGAAATGATATAAATATTTAAGAAGTCTGGCTTACTCAAAATTTATAGCGAAATTTTCATAAGCAGGTACACCATGCTTATGAAAATTTCGAAGGTTTTTTTTTCAAATTAAAAAAAAACTATAATTTATGATAATTAATAGGAGATTGCCGTGAGAGAGAAAGAGATAGATTACTTTCAAGAAAACTTCGAAATTTCAAAATTTCCAATACTATAATATTAAATGTGTTTATACAATAATATATCATCTATTTCTCAAATTACATGAAAGTTCTGTTCACAGAACCCTAATAGTAGAAATAATAATAAAATCTTAAGAATGTCGTAACCTTCTCAAAAGGTGTAAAATTCATTACTTATCAGCGTACATTGAGTTGACCGTTGCCGCGCATACAAATTTCGGCCTTAAGTGGCAAAAATATCATGGAAACAAACCCAAAGCCGCTTGCGGTCTCATTTACATATTGCTCGCAAACATCAATTTCAGATTCTTTTAGACATAAACGTTTAATATATGTCTGGGCTACTATTATTATACTATTTTTTTCCCGTGGATTTACCTTCTTTGAACGTTTTCTTTCCTCTCTATTATATTTTCAGGTCTGAAATCTCTCGGAAATGCAAACTGTACACGATCTAGGGACATGAACATTTGCCTTTCATGTAAATCTTTTCAACGGCTTACGCATGATTGAATATTTGCTATATTCAAACGTCTAAAACGCTAGATTGTATAGAAGCGCATAAAACACGGTGTCTGGGCGGTTTTTTATGACAGACTTGCTTTATTAACACAAAATCTAACTATATCTCTATTTTAGACTGAAATGAAATAAAAATTATTTATTAAGTAATAATTCTTACACGTATACAGTAAAACAATGGCTACGATGATACTGCAAAAGTATGAACTGATGGCTACTATGATCGATTAGATATGTGGAAGTTGCTCATATCCTTTTACCGTCTTGAGAAGAGCTGATAGCCCGCTAACTGCTGAACGGATTTTTTTGGTTTATAGCTATAACACTCTTAATCGAGTCACCTTTCAAACAAAATAAACTAAATTAAAATCGGTTTATCCGTTTGGGTGTTAGGAATCCACAGAGAGACACACGTGCCTGTGTGTACAGATACAGACGTAAACATATAACACCCTTCTTTTTGCGTCGGGAGTTAAAAAATATAATTAAAATTGGCCTGTACCCTTACAGATCTGCTCAGTGAAGTTGGCTGCAGTCAGCGATATCCGATCAGGAGGAATTAACTTATTTATTTCACAAGTAACATTATCGACGACACGTTTGGTTCGGTTGGTAGTAACCCTACTTGCTGTGCTAGTAGTCGCGGGTTTGAGTCCCGCTGGGGGTATTCATTAGTATGATGAGCTTGTATTTTTGTATGTTTGTACTTCAGTCATGGTTGTTTATATTTATAATTTGTATGTATTTAAAGTTATATATGTGTAGTGTATCAACTATCTGG